TGTCGGACCAAATAATGCAGATCATTTGGTCCGGAAATCACGTGGTCGGACGATTCCCCCTACACGCTGGCGATTTCGTTCGGGTCCAAGTACAACCTGATCCGGACCTGGATCTGATCCAGTTTTTTTGGATTAAAAAATCACGATCCAAACCAGAATTTTCAGGTCAGGTCCAGGTCAGGTTTCGGATTGACTGAACCAGTTGGAGCATTAGTTCACTTGAAGTTCAGCTTGATAAATTAATGAAATTGAAAGTGCTAATTTTGTTTTATCTTTTTCTAAAAACAATAGAAATAATAATGAGTATCTTATATATTTGTAAAAATAAAGAAAATCAACAATATGATTATAAAAACAAAGAATATAAGATCAAAGTCTTTTTTTAATGAATTATATCTTTCATCAAATCTCTCCTCAAAAATAAAGATTCACAGACATGAGCAAAGAAACAGCATCTATTTGTATGTTATTTTCCAAAAAGCATTTAGAAATTTAGAAATGTATTTAGATTCTACTGTATTATAAAGCTCTAATCTACAGATTGTTGAGTAGTAAAAAAATGCTACTATAATCCTCTACAACAAATTCTTTATTATGTTATCCCTTTCATCTTTTTTAGACTCACTTTTTCGTGTAGTAACAAATGGCACGTTTTTTTTGAAATCCTAGTTGAAACTTGTTTGACTTTAGTACCTGTATATTATCGTGACCTTGTATCAATTTTTTTCTTTTGCACGATAAATAGCATGCGATATACAGAGGGTGATCGCAAGTCACCGAATACTATAATAACCTTAAAATAAAATATCTCAGCCAATATTGGTATTTTTGTATAAAATAATAATCAAAATATTTGTCTCTATAATATATTAAAAATCATTAAATTCAAACTAAAAAATTACAGTTCAAAGATTATATAGTGTTGGGTGACTTCTGGTCACCCTTTGTAGAGTAGGAAAGAAAAGAGCAAAGTCCAAGCATACAAAAAAAGGAATTGCATAAAAATAATAAATTAAAAGATTCAAAAAGATTGTGCACTTCAAAATATATGTGAAAAAAGAAAAACGGTCATGCTAAACTCACAGCGCACGATCGCGTTTTTGCTTAGCATAGAAAGAATATTATTTTCTTCACAGCTTGATAAGCCTCCCGTTCCTTCCTCTGTTTGAGCTTTTTTTTCGCAGCTAATTTCTTTTTATCAGCCTTATCGGACAAATTATTTCAAGTAAGTGTACAACCTCGAGTGTAGTGCATTAATATAAAATTTTCCACCACAAACAGAATTTTTTCACATTTAAAGACGCCAATAAAGTTAGTCATCTTTAAAGCAAAGGATCTTTTTACAAAGATCATACAAAAAAGGAGGCCGCTATTTTGTAGTAAATAGGTCTAGCTAGAAAATAGCGACCCCCTTTTTGTATAAAGATCCTTTGCTTTAAAGATAACTAACTTTATTGGCGTCTTTAAATTTCCTGCACTGTAGCTTTATTTTTCGGAACTAGCCATTTCACAATTTTTGGTTTAAAGAGGCGGAGTTGCTTATTTCGGACTTTTACAGCACGCATTGGCTTTCTTTCATTCTATTTTGATATACCCAAAATTTTTTCTCTAAAATAGGATTACAAAAACTCAATATAATAGCTCCTAGGATTTTATGAACATTTCTCTATGTGTCTTATATTGATACGAAGTGCATTTGTATTAAGTTAAGCCACTTGGAAGTGCTAAGCCAGTTTATGATTTGTAATGTCTATTGATTACAATCAAACCTCGATATACCAATATGGTCAAGACAATTAGTAAAATTCTGTAAATATGGTTAAATTTTATTAGAAATTTTTTGTAATTAAAATATTTTGTTATCATTTCAGCTTGGCGTATTAATTATTGAAATCATACTGATACGTACTCAAATCTGCCAAATAGAAATAGAGAGCACTTTGGATTTCAGTCTTAGCGTTTACTATTATATTAGATGTTGAGCCGGCGTGATAAACTGTTATTATAATTCAAAAAAATGCACGCAGTCAAACCCCTGTTAAACCGAAGTGGTTAAAAAATTTTAAAATTTCAGTTTGTCAAGGTTCATTTAATAAATCCAGTTTATTGAGGCAAGTTCAGTATAACTGTTTCTAAACCAGCTTCGATTTATCGAGGTGGATTTACTATCCTGCAATCAAATCCGGTTTAATTAGTTTTCGGTTTAATGGGTTTGACTGTATAGAATGCATTGCTGAAGGAGGTTTGGCACTGTATCAAAATTGGGATTTACAACAATACACAATTAGAAAAAATAAGAATTTCATGCGACTTACATATCAATTTACGCGTAATTTTGAATTTTGACATAATTTTATATCAACTTTGGTGGAACCGTGGGATTGTGCTATGACAATTCGCTAATCCGTTAATTAAATTGTCTTTCAGCCTGTCCACTTGCACAAGTGTTTGTGTCCAGATATTAGCATAGCATTGGATGTGAGAGAGAACCTTCCTCGCTGATTATCGGAATGACAGACGAAATAGAAGGGATAAACATAATGGATCCTTTGATCCTTTTTGTTACCATCCCGTAATTGCATATTAATGATGGTTTTTTTGTTGTAGTCCATAATTTGAATTAGATTCTTTAGACTGTATAAAACATAAAAATAAGATGAGATTGGCCAGTGGTTCATTTTATCCGCATCGAACAATCACGTCAAGGTTAAATATCTAATCAAAGAGACCCAAATCTTGATGTTTATCGCTATATGTTGTATTTATCATACGTACTTCAATGCTCAATACTACATACAGCTCGCAAAACACATTAACGTTAACGTTAAATCACTTGACAAAATGTTTGACTAGTATACACGTAAAAGTCGACTATTTTTACTGAGTCAGAATATAATTTCTTAGCAACAACATTTTTATATTTATCAGTATAGTTTTGAATGGTATATTAATCAATCGCACAGCTCATACGTACTTGTAAAGGAAACGAAGCAAATACTTGATAAAAATTTTGTAATACAGAAAGGACAAATGAAAATATTTAATCAGACTCAGTAGTATCAGAATTGCGGTCATTATTGTCAGGTGTGGAATGAGTTAACGGTGGCTCTATTAAAAAACGCAGATAAGTAATGTGAAAAATAATAATATCACTAGCAATAGCTACTGAATGTTTACCGATAATAAATTTTTCCATATCTCTAACATTTCTTTGAACATTTACAAGGCCAGAGCCTGCATCGTTATATGATGTGACTTGTCTACCGTCCAATCGAAGAAATGTTCTGAATAATTTAGACTGGATCGCATAACTATCGTCAGGTTGACGTACTAAAAAATGTATTTAATAAAGTAAGAAGCAATGCCACAAAAATCAAATTACTATCTATTCATAATACTTGCCAAGGTAGAATTTTTCCCAAGTACTAATATTATTCTGAACATTCACAGTTCCTGTACCATTAGAATTAAACCTCGGAACGAAAATCTGAACACGAAGATAATTTTGGAATTTTGATGATTGAATGGCATATGAACCGTCCTCTTGCGGTACTTTAAATATTAAGTTTTTAAAACGATTTTTAGTCTATAGTCGATTTATTCATTTTTTCATATCGGTTACTCACTAAAATTGAATTTTTCGTATTCGCCAGCTCCATATTGCGCATTTACAACACCACCACCAAAAAGCTTAAATTCATTGACGCCGCTTCCGTCGCAGCGGAGATAAACATTATCGTATGTCGCTGATCGAATTGTACGCGCGTTGAATGGTTGGTTTGCGTTTGGATCTGTTATTGCTTGTTTATCCTGTCTATAGAAGTGTTCCTTTTAGTTGTAAACGATAATAAATTTTACCCATTTTATGTTAAATTGAATTCGTAAAATTATTGTCCTGCTTAACCGTATTTAAAAATAACATACATCAACATCATCATCATCATCATCATCATCATATTGTCTGTGAACATCTTCATCTTCAACAGATTTCAAAAACCACTCGAAAGCTTTTTTCTCATCTTTTTGTACACCAATGCCATTTTGATAACATAAACCAAGATTGTATTGTCCGTTATGATTTCCACCCTCTGCTGATTTTAAATACCATTCAAATGCTTTTTTCTCATCACTTTGTGTTCCGATTCCATTTTGATAACAAAAACCAAGACTGCATTGTCCTCTTGCGTTTCCATCATTCGCTGATTTCAAATACCACTCCAATGCTTTTTTCTTATCTTTTTGTGTTCCAATTCCATTTTGATAGGCATATCCTAGCAAGAATTGAGCTGAAGAGTTGTTACTTGATAACTCTATATAAATGTTCAATGCTAATTTAGCATTCTTTTTAACCATGAACCCGGTTTGAAAAAGAAATCCTAAAAGCAGCTTATATCGAGAGTTAGATTCTAACTTGTTCTGGATTTCCCAAGGATTTTGACCGTTCAAGTCATAATACGATTGTAATTTGGCACCTATTTTATCTAAATTTTCCTCTTTGTTGAGTAAATTACTCAATAGAGTTAATAATTCGTTAAGAATTTTATAATTTTTTTGATCGTTTGAAAGTTCATTGTCATCATTTGAAGTTTCATCTTCGGAAACCAATTCAGGATCAAAAGTAATAAGATCAAGTTCTTCTGGAACTAAAGCAGACGAAGCGGTTAACCATTCTATTTCTTTAAGTTGTTTGTTTACTTCATGGATGTCCGGTCGCTTTTCTGGTACGTCATCCCAGCATGCTTGATAAAGGTCAACATATTTATCTGGAGCGTCACACATTCTTTCTTCTTTTTCTGAAGAAGCACACAAAGCATACCCGTATTGACCAGTCGGAGGACGACCGCTGGAAATAACCCAAAATAGCACTCCAATACTAAAAATATCTGATTTTTCATTTCGTCTAAACGTAGATATATTTCTTAGAAATGCGGGATCAATATAACTTATAACACCCAAATTGGTTTGCGAGTTAGATTGATCACTTGAAAGCTTTGAATAGCCCAAGTCTGAAATCTTAATTTTTCCATTATGAACGAGTATATTATTATGATTCTATAAATAAACAGTTCAACATTAGTATTTAAAATCAAAGTTGGATCTATCGCTATCTATCGGTCACCAACAATAAATCCAAGTTCATATACACCAGTATTATTGGTTTTATGTCGTAGTAAAGTCATATACATACACAGTCAACGTCGATATAACGGACCCCTCCGTTCCTGCCATGCTGTCCGGTAAATCGACGGATCCGCTATAACAGACAAAATTTATATAATGTTATTTATAGCCGGTTCCGAAAAATAGTCCGTTATATCGACGTTGACTGTGTAGTTGCATTTAAAGACTTTTACAAGGAAACGTTTTCTCAATATTAACGAAAAAGGGTAAAAGAGGTTCGAGAAGTAGCGGCAGGACAAATGTGACTTTACTACGGCATGTATCAAAAACAGGATCTATCACTCAGTCACTATCGCTATAACGTGAAAATCTATAAATTTTCTTACCAAATCTCGATGGATAATGCCTGCATCATGTATACACTTTACTCCTTTAGCGAGTTGTTTAGCCAAACTCAACTTGTTTTTGCCACTCAATTTGTGGAAATTAACACTTAAATATTCTTTAAGAGTTCCGTCATTAGCGTATTTTAAAACAAGCATGTACCTTTCAGAACTCGGATCTAAAGAATATTTTTATTAATGAACTTATTAAAGAGACTCTAAATGATAACGGTAAAATATTTACCTTGAGTGATTCCGTAAAAGCGAATAATATTTTTATGATGATTAATTTGAATAAGGATTTTCAACTACAGCATACATACCGATACATATAATAGAATTTTCATTAGTCTTGAATTTAGATATTTATTTCTCAAATAAAATGGTACCTCGTTAATAAACTGTTTGTTTATTTCTGCATTATATATTTTATTTTTTATATAAAGGCATTTTAAAGCAACAGTTAAATCTTCATCCTTTAAATCGGCTTTGTAGACTTCACCGAACGCTCCATTTCCGATTACTTCTTTATTATAAAATTTATTTAATTCAAAAAATTTTACTTGTTTTTCTGACTTAGCGTATTCCAACCAGTCATTTGGAGTATATAAAGGAGAAGACGACATTTTTCCATTATATTTTCTGATTTTACCCATAACGTTCCCGTTATATTGTTACCACCGTTTTGGCGATCCTCTTAATTCGGAAGGATCGGTTTGAGCCGCGTTATAACCAATAGCATTGCGTATTTTCGGAAATTTCTACTGTAATAAAGGTTTAATATAAGGGTTAGGATTAGGGTTAGGGATGGTGATCCAGGTTATGTATAAAATTGTCTTCTCGACATTTTTCATTAGTACTCCGGACCATATTTTGACATTTGTTTCTTGTATTTTTCACATTTCTCGCAATTTTTTGTGTCGGTTTGTTTTGCATTCTTATTGGCTGTTTTTTATCATAACCAAATCGGGTGGTGGTACATAGATGCACGCGCGTTATAGGTTTTTGCTCCCCAAAAACTGCCGTTTATAAGAAAATCCACGGTAACAATTTGTTCCCGTTAGGTTTAATGTGTCACCACAAATTAAAATATTATATACGTACATGTACCGGTACCATCTATATCCACAAAAAACAATTGAAGACAACCCATCAAATCCATTCTAACGATTATAGAAACTACCAGTTGATCGATTTTTAGAACAGAATTCTTTTTGGAGTGGTCTCGACTTCTCCGTAATATTAGTGATAGGCCAAAATGAAACCATTTTGTGTTGATTTAAAAAACAATGGTTTCAAATTAAGACCATAGTTTCTTGTTTGCTGTCATTTTATTGATTAAAATTTGTATAATTGTAATTCTATTGGTCAAAATTCATGAAACCAGGTTCGAAGCCAACCATTTAGAATAGTTTTGAACCAAACCAATGAGAGAACATCCGCAAAAATGATAATTCCTTTCTCAATAAGCGCATTAAAAACGTTAGCGTTAGCAAACGATGACAAAGAGTATACATGTACCGTAGAGCACAGCCTACAGTATTTAACTTTGATATTGAATAGTACTGATACTATTTACGGTTTCAGCGATTTCATTAGTGGAGTATGGGGGTACTTTACTCGGGTAGTACACAGAAATCGATTCACCGTTACAAACGGAAGTTCTATAAAGGAAGGAATAACAATCGACTTACACATATAAATCATTTTTATTTTACCATCATTTTAAATTTTAAATAAACCACTGCGCTCAAAGTGAACTCAAAGATGGAATCTAATAATATGTACTCATATCCTTGACAATCGTCACATTCACCACAGTCATGAGTACTGCAAAGAATGTTCAGTTCACAATACCCATGACTGTAGTAAATGTAGAGAGTACGTATAACGATAAGTGACTGGAGCCATGATCGTGTACAACGGAGTACGACCTAAGATACTAAATACGTAATGTGCAAATTTATTATCGTCATTGAAAAATGTTGGGATCTTATTCCAGAGCTGCACGGGAACTCCACAACTTTATTGACTCTATCCGCTATTCGGTAAACAAACTTTGAATTTTCAGTACTACGGCGCTTTAGAATCTCCCAAGACACATGAAGTAATTAAGCAGCGTCTTAAACTAGATCATCAGAATGATAGGAGATGAAATGGAAAAAAAGCGCTCCTACAAATACAAAGAAAAACAGCAAATTCATTTAAATGCAGTCGAATATTTCCTACAAAATTAGTTTCAATCGGTACATTCTTTCAAACTATTATGAAAGAAATGCTGTTTGATTAATATTCATAAGAAAATGCTCTAATGCCATTCAGGTTCAACATGAGCTCCAAAATCAATTGGGTGTTGAAATTTCTATGGAGGATATGGTATATTCACAAAAATTAAATGAAAAAAACTTTGCTCAAAGAGACACATAAAAATTATCGATTAATGTTGACAAAAAAATGCTGAAATTGGATTCTCAATGAATGATGAAAATAATTTGGTCTGATGAAAGTAAGTTTCAAATATTTAGATTAAATGAATGAAAATAATATTGGAAAAAGCCTGGTAAACAACTAAAAATTACCACATAATTCTGATCTAAAATATAGTGGTTATGGGTTTGCATTAACTACTAGTGAGGTTAAAAAAACTCTGAAAATTCGATAATAGAATAAATACTAATGTCTACATTAATATACTAATTAATATCTTTTTAGATAAATTTATAAGAAGATGCTGAAAAATAGTGAATTTGTCTTTCAGCAAGATAATGATTCTAAACACACATCTAAAAAAGCAAGACAATGATTTATTAATAATGAAATTATCTTGCTTGATTGGCTCATCCAGTCACTTGACTTAAATCCTATTGAAAACTTGTAAAATGAGATTGATACACATGTGCGCAATCTTCCTGATCCATTTTTAAGTAGAAATGATCTGTGAAAAAAGTTACAAATATCTTGAGAAAGCATCAAAATTGATTATTGCCAAAAACTGATCAATTAAATGCCAAAGAGTATCAGAAAAGTAATATAGACAAAAGGTGAGTAAATAAATTATGAGTTCTAAATTAGTAATAATAATTTTTAATTATATTTATCTTTTTTATTTCCATCCAAATTGGTCATATTACATGAACATTAAAAAAAGTTATTAGTATGCAAGCAATATATTGATGAAAATAAATTGCATCAAGTGATAATAACTATTTAATGAATAAAATTAGGTAGATTTTATTTGTTCACGATCCTTCAATGACGAGGTATTCTAATATCACCATTTTTTTCGGTGTCCCCTAACATTAGTGAGTCCCTGTACATGCAAAGTGAATTATCAATTTAATAGAGTCTAACACAATTCCCTAAATTCTGAAATGAATTGGATTGGAATAGCTAAACTCAAATTTTAAATGGTATAGTAAATGTAAATTAATAAACAAAAGGAAACTTTTATATTCGAACAATTAGTCTTTGTTTTTTTAACATCATTTTTAAATATGACATCACAAATCGATATCGATATGAACTACGTAATCTGTGGTGGTTAGAATAAAATACTCGAGCATACTTGAACATTATTGTATCAGTATGTAGACTTGTCAGATGTAAGTAAACGTAAACGAAACAAATACTTAATAAAATTTTGTAATTTAGAATAATACAGACAAGAATTGCGGGTCATTATTGACAGGCGTGGAATGAGTTAACGGTGGCTCTATTAAAAACGCAGATAAGCAATATGAAAAATAATAATATCACTAACAATGTCTACTAAATATGTTTACCGATAATAAATTTTTCCATAAATCCAACAAGTGTTTGAGCATTTGCAATGCCAGAACCTGCAGCATTAAACGAGGTGACTTGACTACCGTCCAATCGAAGAAATGTCCCAAATGATTTAGACTGGATCGCATAACTACCATCAGGTTGACTTACTAAAATGTATTTTAAAAAAGTTAAAAAATCAAATTCCAATTACTATTAATAAAGTAATAAAGTTTATTTATGATACTTGCCAAGATAGAATTTTTCCAAAAAACTAATAGAATTCTGAACATTCACTGTTCCTATACCATTAGAACTAAACACAGGAATGAGCGACTGAATACGAAGATAAGTTTGAAATTTTGATGATTGAATGGCATATGAGCCGTCCCCTTGCGGTACTTTAAATATGATTATTTTAGTCTATAATCGATTTGTTCATTTTTTCATATCGATTACTCACTAAAATTGAATTTTTCGTATTCGCCAGCTCCATATTGCGCATTTACAACACCACCACCAAAAGGCATAAAGCCATTGACGCCTCTTCCGTCGCAGCGGAGATAAACATTATCGTATGTCGCTGAGCGAATTGTACGTGCGGTGAATGGTTGGTTTATGTTCGGATTTGCTATTGATTGTTTATTATGATTTATGAAAGTATTCCTAAGAAAAATTTTAAGTTTAAAACATAAATTTTACCCATTTTATATCGGAATTGAATTCGTAAATTATTGATTTGCTCAACAAAGAATAAATTTGCTCTACATGTTAAGGATTATCCTTTTGTATGCATTAATACATGTACAAGTTTCTATAACGATAATAATAACGATAAAAGTAAAAGATACATGTATTACCAACAACTAGTGTTCTTGGTCGATAATAAAAAATCAACTGATTGACTGTAACCAAATTTCAGTCAAAGAGTAGTAACTGCGCGTTCTTTATTAATTACTATCTACATATCGATATGTTAGCTTCCTTTTTTTAAAGCGTTGTAAGTCCAATGATCTGTCCGAAAAACAAACCAATAAGAATGCGTAAATTTTTGATCAGCCCGGAAAAACAAATCCGAAGCACGAACGAAAAAAATAAAAAATACGGAAAAGGTATGCTTAAATCTATCTTGGAGTGCTAATTAAAAATGTCAGTGAGGCAATTTTACATCCAATGGTAAGCTTCTCTCCTAACCTAACACTAACCCTTAGCTTAACGGTAAAATCAACCTTTAATTGTAATAAACATTGGTGACGTGTTTACAACGCATCTCATTTTTTTTAGTGTGTTGTACTAAAAAAATCAGCTGAACCGATTTTTTCAAAATCAACTGACTAGGCCGAAAAATCGATTTTTTGATTATCAGCCGGAATCACTAACCGGTAATATATTATTACCGGTTATAGAATTTTTAACACGAGTTCCTGCACCCAACGTTGTCACGTTACTATGTCCAGTAACCGGACTGGACTTATAAAATTACCAAGTTCAATGGTACAGTGGTGGTGCAGTATTGGACTAGCCCAGTTGACAACACTGCCTGCACCATAATAATAACCTAATTTGATTATGGCAGATTTGCGTGATCAAAATTCAATATCGACACCATACTTATCTTCAATCCGAAGTTTTGAATAGTGTAGGGTCACATCGGTGTTGTTCGACGCCTAAAAGTATTGAGAACCTACTCGAATATTTTTGTTATATGTATATTGCCCATTACAATAGTACATGTACAATACAGCATTTACGATTAGAATAATGCCACCAATTATTGTAATTTATATTATTAAATGCTATGCAAGCTACAAGTATTATTGATTTGTTCATAGTTTTTGCTATGCAGTATCTACGAACGACCTTTTATATATTTATAGGCGTGCTGTGTGGTGTTTATTCGGAGTAAAAGTAAAAGAACACTAGCAAAAAGACTATCGAAGTTGATGGCAAATTCCAATTAATAAAAAGGAATCTGAATATATGCTAGTGTATAAATAGCATCTATTTCATGTCATCCAAAACCTTTAGAAATTATACATGCTTCCTTCTTATAGGAAATTTAAACCTTCATTTTACACCGTAAAACTTAAATTAATTATTTTGCAGATTTACTAAAAAAAAATGGGCTAAAGTAATTTTTAAATTTTCTACAAGGAAAGCATTATAGTCAGCGTCAGTTTAACATATTGAAGTGTTCCTATAATTAAATAATAACGACGATTGAATTACACCTGATTATCTTACGTATTTTGATTTATTCTATTAATTGCATTATTACTATAAAACGTTTTTCATATGGCATTGCCCTATGAAGTTTCAGTCTAGCATTTAAATAAAATATATTTAGATGGTGCGGTGTACCTAAATTCATCGATATCGATAGTATGTTCTAAATTTCAACTAGATCCAAAATTTAACCCCATAGAAAAGTCTATTCTATCATTCTATCGGATTAAAGTTTATATTTACTTTTCTGTTATTCTATGTTTTATCAAAGATAGATAGATATATATATTAAAAATTTGGCAATAATTTGGATAATATACAGAAAATGATTTTTAGAAAATGGTTTGTTATTTTAATAGAATCGATCCTAACGTCAAAAACAGAAAATAGTAATTTTATGTGAGCAAGACAATAGTCGAAAGCGTCCAATAAATTGTTAAAATAAAAAAATAGAGTAATCTTATTTTCGGAATATCTTTTTGATACGTCTCACTAGTGCATTCATGCATATATTTGCCTTAACGATATACATGTAATATACTGATGTGATTCAAGCATTAAGGCGTTGCTTAATGTTTTAAGTTACTTTGTGTATTGTTTCAAGAATAAAAGACAATTTCCAGATCCTTCGCGTAAAAATTCTCATCGAAAGCTAAAAATTTATGCGCAATTTTTAACTATATTGAGATCTATATCAAGAAATGGGAGTTAAATTATCACTGTATAAAAACAAGAGAAGAAAGATAATGTATGGAAATGTTTATAACAGACATACAGAAGAAAATGAAAACAGTTCTGCTGAAAGTAAACAAGAACAAGAATTTGAATATATCGGAGGTCGAAAGTTTTATAATATTGATGTTTCACCATATATTGTAAGTTTCATAAACTTTGCTTTTTTATTAAAGAGTCTTTGAACGTGACTAGTTATCACGATTATTACCATAACCAGTTGCCTACAGATATTGAAGAGGTTGATCGCTTACATCAACAACATTTTGCGCTCAAACATATTTGTGAAGGAAACTACACGGCTCCGATTCAAAATATAATAAAACCTGGAAGCAAGTTACTGGTAATTTAAAAAATACTAACATAATCGAATTTAAAAATTTGCACTAACCGATAATATGAACTTTATTGTATTTTGATTTAGGATCTAGGTTGTGGTTCAGGTCAATGGACACTAGAAATGGCGCAGGAATTTCCATATGCGCGAGTATTCGGTATCGATATAAACACGAATTTCCCAACTTTAATTAAACCGTTGAATGCCCATTTTATAGTTGGTAATGTCACAGAAGGATTACCCTGGGAAGATAACTACTTTGATTTTGTTTGGATACGATATTTATGCGTTGGAGTTAAAGATGCAGATTGGCAGAATTTATATCTTGAGGTTAGGCGTGTGTTAAAACCAGGCGGAATACTTGAACATCATGAGTGTGATGGGCTTAGTAAGTTACACATCAAGTTTTCTTTTTTACAAATAGATGTCGATATGCGTTTAATCACAATATTAAATTCTAATTTTTACTGAACAATTAGCCGAAATTAGTGGTCCAAAATTAAAAAATTTTCAAAACCATTGTAAGAACCATATTTATCCTTTTCTGAAATCTATAACAAAACATTAATTATTGCAATTATCTCTAAAGTTGAAGAAGCAATGATTTCACGTGGTCTAAACTTTCGATTGGCATGTCAACTAAGTGAACGAGTTACGAATGCTGGATTCAAAGACGCACAGTCGTCGTACATATCTGTAGCAGTTGGAAAGTATGTGTATATAATTTTGTAAATAAAAATTTTAACACCAAATTAATTTTGATAAATATTTTAATTTAAAATATAGACATGGAGGTAAAATTGGAGAAATATGGGCAACGAATTTAAAAGCAGGTACTCTCTCTATAAAACCTTTGCTCGCGAAACTTCTCAAATTGACAGATAACGAGTACGACTCGACAGTTCAATATATTTTCGATTATGAAGTTGACGAGTATAAAGTTTATCATAATCATCATAAAGTATGGGCTCAGAAAATTCAATAGTTTGTCATTATTGTAATTTATATGATAAGGTTAATAGTTGCACCTCTCTATAAGAGCACTATTTATTTGATCTAATTAGGTTATATATGAAATAACTATATAAGTACACTTTTTTTATTGGATTCCAATAAGTTATATATAAAAATAACACTATATAACAAACTTTTTTATTTTCCAATCTGGTTCTTAAAGAGGTCCGACTGTTATAAACAATGGTATATAAATATTCCAGACTCAATAAATTCTCAATTATAAGTATATGTATTTGCATTTAAAATTTACCATTCGAATAAATTTCCTGCAGTTCTTTTATCAAAGTTATTTATTTCCTTATTGCTAAAAGAAAATATATAAGCACGTAAATTTTAAATTCCAATATCAATATGAATAAAAATTATCAATTATAATTATTAGTATTTCAAATTTCAACTAATTTCAATTAATTTTTACGAATTTAATATAAGTGTGGCTATCTAGTCGCATAAAAAAATTTGATTTAAAATTTCTAAAAAAGAACTTAACTAGTTTTTAACTTCTATAATTTATTTTTTATTAAGATTTTCAAATTTCGTTATGTTTAAATTTTGATCGGCAAATTAATGTTACAAAAATTCAGCGTCCTACGTATTGTTTTTTTTTGAATTCATCAGGGCGACCCTCAAAAGTTCGGGCCACGTGATAATTTTTTGATGACGTCAACGCTGCGAAAAGGGTTAGGGTTTGAATCTGGGTCAAGGTTATTTGGCAAACAAAAAATAAGCTTATAGTAAAATTTCGCAACATTTTTTATTAGAACACAAAAAGATAGTTTCATAGGCTAAATTTTGAGATACAAACTTTTTTTCAAAAATATGTCTTTATTTATTTTTGGATTTTTGTGTTACACGTTGATCTTGCAATTTAATTGGTCATCATCGCTGACATCATCAAAAAATTATCACGTGGCCTGAACTTTTGGGAGGTCGCCCTGGTGGATTCTTTTTTTTGATGCGACACATCTATCCCTTAATCTGTAGGCAAATTTGTCTGGAAATAATTTTTTGTATTTTTTAAAATATTATTATTATATAATTTGCTTTATTATTAAATAAAATTTTATTAGTTCTAATAATTCAAAATCCAAAAAGTATTACAAACCAATATGTATAAGTTGATGTAATTTTAATAAAATATTTATGAATTAACTTATTAAAGTTTATCAATCTTGAAAATTAATATTAAAATCAAACATTACTTTTATATATTTTTTTATTTAATCTGTATTTTATACAAATTTATCTGAAATTTCATTAATAATAATATTCTAAATATACTAACCTTAAACTGTAATATATTAAGAGAGCTTTTACTTAGTATAATTTGATAATATAATATAATTATCAAAAAACTAAAATTCCAGAAAAATTTTATTGGAATACAGATTAAGTGATATATATATATATATATATTATACATAAAATTTATATTTAATTATTCTATATTATCTTATTTAATTAGCTTTAAGTTATCAAATCCTCAAAAAATTACTTGATGTATAATATTTTATCTCTTATAAATATCTCAAAAGTTTTTAATGCTTTTTTCCAACAGATTGCTTAAATTATATTTCAAAGTTTAATATAGTATTAATATATTAAATATATTAGTAACAGATTGCATAAATTATATTTCAAAATTTAATATAATATTAATATATTAAATATATCAGTAATTTTTAGTTTCAATAATATTTTAAATTCAAGTTATTTTCTTATTTTTTCTAATAGTCAAGTAAATATTTTTGCATATATAGTGGCAATTAGAAATAATGGAACAACATCAAAATTTATTAATTAAACATAGTAAAATGCGAACTTTTCATATAAAATCAATTATTTTTTTATATAATTAAAACATATAAAAAAATAATTGACTTTATATGCAATTAGAGCAGCTTTATCAGATTAAATCTAAAAAATATATGTGATATTATCTTCATTTTAATGTAAAAATAAAAATTATTTATTAGTAAAATTGAAAACTTTTATATAGAGAAAAATTCGCATTTTATTCTGATTGCCACTGTATACTAATTTAATATTTTGTTTTTTATAAATAAAATAATTAAACAAAAATCGAGATTTTTTTAATTTTATAAGTTATTATATATATTATAAATTCAAATATAATATACTAAAAAAGAAATTATTCAATTTGCTAATTATAATTTACCCGATTTAATAAAAATATAAATATATAACAAAAATTAAATTACAGAGTTTATTGAATAAAAGTATAATAATAAACGTAATTACAATAAAATCTAGTCTTAGTCAAACTTAGTTTTCAGATTATAAAGGACATGCCTAAATTATCAGGAAATTTACTCAATTTTTCGCTATGTTATGCACTATATCAAAATTTCGAATACTTTGGCGCTTATTATACTACAAGTAGTGATAATAAATATTTGAATATTCATCACAGTAATTTATTAGTATGGATTTCACCAGACGGGAAATGCATGTTCATTTAGATAGAGCGTCATTGTATCGGTATTCTTCATATCTTTGATTAGCTGTTGTGTCAATGTTTGAACCAGTCGATTGAGTCGTGAACAATTATAGTTGTACTTATAATTGCACTTGCAATGAGATTCAGTAATCATTGTTGTCTGGTCGATTGGTATTGAATTAGCATATGAAGCACAAGCAAATAACTACCAATCCTCACGATTATACCAGTTGTGCCAAAGATTTCCCCATACTGCAGCATAGTTTTTTTGCTAACAGTACTGATAAGCCTCTTGCGTACAAAGTTTATATATCTTTGAGAACGTGAGAAATTTATTTATACCAACAGGTATCATAGGATACAAAAGAGTGTGTTTCTTTACCATCTGTAATGCATCTTTGATCTCCTCCTTAAAGCATTTACAAGTTTCTTGTTCTCCTGGAAGTCACGTTAAATCAATAAAAGTAAATTTTCTGTAAGCTTCTCTAGATTTCTCAGTTGTGTATTGACTTGTATGAATTTTTGTTCACTCAACTTTCTTTTAAAGCATGCGTAATATGTCATAGACAAAGCTGAATGTTTGGTATCCATGACCAAGCTTCCTGTGCTGCTGCTATCTCCAACATCTTTGTCCAGTAATACAAAAATTGGTTGAATACTCTCACTCTGTAATGCTTTAAAGAATTCCCGTAAGATACCAGTACATGTATGCATTGCGTTTGCTGGATCAGATAATTGATCTTCTGATGCAACAAAAGCGTCCAGGTAAAGGTATGCAAGAGACACATCATATTTATCACAGATATTGTTTACAGCAAATAGTTCAAACTTTTGTTGAGTCCACAATGAGCTCAATAATATTTTTTCTCCCAATCTTATTCATAAAAGATGTAATAAATTCCAAACTCTGAATGAAATCATGTTAAAGATATAATATAACTTTAAATCCTTTGCATTGAAGTGTATTCTGCTCAATGAGTTCTTAGCAGATTTCAGTTGGTTTGCTGTATCAGTTACATACTGCTGCTTCGAGAACTGTGCAGCCCAATCCAACAATATACTTGTTAATTTTCCCATCAATTAATCCTTCTCTAAACAATTAGCAGCCTTTCAAAAGCAGCAATCATGATATCCATCCTGAGTAGCCTATAGATTTCATTTTTGTGTAAATTAAAGTTTATCTTTTTCTTGATTCACACTTTGGAATTTTCTGGTAGCTTAAATCTGTAGTTTGTGGGATATGTGTTTTTTTAAAATGTTGAATAGTCAGCAAAATCCACCTTTCATCAAGATTAATTCTGACTGTAATTGATCTCTCGCAATCGAATCTTTGAATTGCAAATATTGTTTTACTGATGTGCTTAACTGGCTGGTCTCTTGATCGCTTGAACTGATACTTTTTTCATTGGCTGCAACAAAGATAATATATTGCACATCTTTTTTTTAACCATCTTTGGTATGCAAGTATTATCCAATGATATCCAGACAGTCTCTCCAGAGGATCAAGAAGACTATCAAAGATATGTTGATATGATCATTATTCGAAGATATTGTCTCTCCAACGAGATCGAAGTCTAATGCAACTTCCACGGAAAACTTAACAATTCTATCTTCGGTTTCACAATTACTAAATTCTGTGATTATTACATCATCCAGATATTCAAACTCATACAAAAGTTCCTCGTACTCATCTTTACTTATTTGTGCATATAATACAAAACACATGACAAATACATTTATGGATATTACAAGCTAGGATCAGGGTTAGAGCGAGAGTAAGGCTATATGTAAAATTACCTTCCCGACATTTTTTATTAGTACTCCAAGTTGATTTGAACATCCATTTTCCAGATTTTTTGCATTTTTCGCATTTTTTTATTTCTTGTGCCGGATTTGTTTTGTCGGGTTGATCAAAAAATTTACGCTTCCTTATTGGTTTGCGCCATCCTGAATATCCATTTTTGGATTTATATTTGTGCATCGTACGTAATGAGTCTATTTTTTGATCAAATCGGAATTACCGATTTTGGACTTGCCGGCCCAGCCGATATAATCGAGAAATTTACGGAGTTCTTATTTATGTATTATCCTTGTAAAAGAATATAATCTGGCAAAAATCTGGTTTTTTAGTTCCGCAAACCTACAGGTTTAGTTATAAAATTTCTGGATTAAAAACAGTGAAAATAAACAAATTTATCCGGTTAAATATACCATTTGATTCGACAAGACTTGACGAATCGAATGTTTATTATTGTCCGGATTGGATCAGTGAATCGTGAGACATCATATCCCGGATATTTTCCCTGTTTTTTCGTTTTAATCAGATTTTAATCCGGAAATTTTATAACTAACCTGTGGTTTTCCGGAACTAAAAAAACTGATTATATTTTTATAGGGTAGTCCAGATGTGTTAAATGGAAAGTCATACATTGAGCTGCAGATGTTTATAGTTTTGAGATGGTTATGTGACAGATGAATGACCAATTTGTGGGCAGAGTCATAGTATA